GGAAAATGAGTCCATTGTGGAGGAAGCATAATATTGTCAGAGACAATGTTAATCAAAGATTTTTTTAGGATTTTCAAGAATGACTTGGAAGATGGCCTATTAATGAGAACTTTGCTGTAAGATGAGATCTAGAGTGAGTGAGGTTTATAGAATTCCATGAGCTCAGTTCACTGAAGGTCCCACATTCAGTTTTCTTATAATCTCTTAAATTATAGAAAGGAGGTGTTCAGTGTTGACTATAAACTGATTAGAACAGAGTGAGAAAAAGAAACTAGATTCTTATCTTGCTCAGTTGGCAGTTACTGAGATCACTGAATTTCACCAAGTTGCAAATATCTTCTCTTTAAAATCTATCAGCTGATTTCTTCATTTAGAAAATAAAATTATAAGCAAGGCTAAAATGTTTAATCCTCATTCATAAACAATATAACATTAGGTATCAATGTCCCCACCAACATTCTATCTGGACATAGAGAAAAATCCTTCCAAATTCATCTTTGTTGAAGCTTTTCCAACAAACTCTGAAATGGAGCTGAAACACTGTTGGTGGCCCTACCTATAAGCCTGGAGGCTGTCAGAGCCAAAAAAAAGACCCAGTAGTGAGCTTTGTCTTAATTCCCTAACCATTGAGTGGTTATGCTAATTCAACAGTCTTTCAGAGCCCCTTTTAAACTCTGCAAAGCTTTGTGTTTACTTATAGGATCCTTTCTTCCATGATCTTCTACATGTGCGAGATGTCTACTTGCTGAAGACCAGTTTCTCCATTGTAGTCCTTTGTACTTTCCAAGGGATATTGATCTTGAATGCAGAAATGGGCAGAGAATAGACACGGGCTGATTGTGTAGTAAGTGGCAACAGCACTTTTCTTCTGTCTCAACTTCTGGAGTTAATCACTCCTCTGTACGTTCCTCTCCGATGGCATTTTTCACTTTGATTACTTGCTTAAATACTTTCTGCCCTACTATACTGTGAACTCTTTAGGAGAGAGATTCATTCATCTCTCTATTTGCAGTAACTAAGTCTGACACATTGTAGGCCTGCAATTAAACTTTGTTCAATCAAGACATCTTGTTTCAATGGATCCAAATTGCTGTTCACGTAACTGACTCAACAGTATAGATACATTTTTACTTTTAAGACACAATCTTGTACTCATTATTGTCCTTTTCCTCATAATTCCTAATGTCCACAACAAAATTTCAGCAATCTTATAAAGGCTTAACATCAGTTTAATCAATATTAAGTTGGAAAAAGACATTCAACCAAGTGCTCTCTACTAGGATTCAGGCAGTTGGAGTAATTGGAACCAAAATGTAAAATCAAGTTAGCAAAGAGTAAAACTTTCCCCATCGAAATTGATAGACACAGTCTGAACCGTTTTATTGAACCAATCTCCTAGACACTTTAAAATATAACACTGGGATTTCTAGGGCAGGGAAACTATTCTGTATGATACTATAATGGATACACGTCATTATACCTTTGTCAAAACTCATAGAATGTACATCACCACCAGTGAACCATAATGTTAACTAAGGACTTTGGATGATAATGATGTTTCAATATATGTTCGTCATCGATATATACCACAAATATACCACACTGATGTGGGATGTGGATGGTGGCAAAGGCCATGGGAGGTAGAGGGAGTATGTGGAACTCTCTGTACTTTCCACTCAACTTCAAATTGCTCTAAAAATAAAGTCTATTAATTAAAAAATAAAGATGACATGAAGACTGCATGAAGTATTCCTTTTCTTAAGACTCCAACCTAGTTATTTAAGCACAGTTTCACAGAGGAAATACACAAACAAGACTATGTTTGGGAGAGCCACTCTTTCTTCTATTGGCTTTTATCAAATCCTCTACAATTTCAGCCAAAGTCCTTGATTCAGTAAAGTTACCATTTGATCATTCATCTTTTCTTAATGAGTTTTACAAAGAAGGGCCAGACAGAGACACTATGCACAAGTGAAGGGATCTTCCAGTGCCCAGTCACAGGTTTATCAGCCCTTGCTGATGCAGCTTCACCAAATTTGCCTACCTCTGGCACATAGAGGCTTTGGATGTGCTAGCGAGCAGCTCTGAGAGAGCAGCTCCATTACTGTGCCCTTGAGGTGGCTTCAACAGCCAACTGTGATATGGGAAGTTCGGCTGGACCCCCTCTATCAGGAATTTAGCTCTCTGTTTAGGCTTGGAAGCATGCAATTATAATTGTTTGCAAATACTTAAGCTTGAAAGTCTATATTGAGGTAGCAGAAGGTTGGAGATTTAAAGGAATTATTAATGTATAAGAAGCGAATATTGATTTCTATCTCAGACCAGAGTTTTCTAAATAGGGTGTCAAGAGAACATTATTTCTTCTCTTTTTTTTTTTTAGGAAGATTAGCCCTGAGCTAACATCTGCTGCCAATCCTCCTCTTTTTGCTGGGGAAGACTGGCCCTGAGCTAACATCAATGCCCATCTTCCTCCACTTTATATGTGGGATGCCTACCACAGCATGGCTTGCCAAGCAGTGCCATGTCTACACCTGGGATCCCAACCAGCAAACCCCAGGCCACCAAAGTGGAACATGCACACTTAACTGCTGCACCACTAGGCCAGCCCGAGAACGTTATTTCTGCAAACTATTTTTCCTACCTAATGAGGGTTCAGTTTTCTAAAATGTTATGAAACTGCTGCATATTCTACCCTCCTTTTAGAGACCCACAAATGTGCATTAACTTATCAAAAGCTCCCAGAAGATCTGCATTGATCAGTTTAAGAAGCTTATTTAACTTTAACCCAACATTTCCCAGACTAATGCGACCCCGTAACCTTTGCAACTGCTGCTGTTGTAGTTGTCATTATGCTCATTAACATCCAAAGGAACTTGTTACAGAAACATACTTTGGAAATTGTCAGTATATTTGGATATTAATAATAGCGGGTCATTAAAAGTAAACTATAAATCATTTTTCTGTGACATAACTTACCCACAATTATACAGAGGAATGAGAGATGACTAGATAAACAAACATGAGCCAGAAGATCTTAACATAAATGTAAGCATGGACTGAACCAAAAGAAATACACAAACAAATCTCTTTATGTCATCAGTCTTTGAACCCCATCATTTTTATTTGGGTCTCTTCCAAAGTGGCCAGTTCATCTCACTAGTTCCCTTTCTTAATGCATCATGTTATTTTTTTGAACATCAAATGATGCTTCATACAATATACATACAATTATATGTTCATGACTGTGTAGTGAGTGAATTTTGAAACGTCATAAATGTGATTCCTTCAAATATCTTTTATCCTGGTGATAGAACCAAGATAGGGCAAGTAATACTCTTTTCCTTTTTGTTAGTTTTACCTAATTCCATCAGAAGCCTCTCTAAGTAAAATTTGTTTTATCTTCTCGGGGGGCAAAAATCAAAGGAGGTTTAAGTTAAACTGGGCACTCTGTAAACAAACCACACTCTGTATTTAAACTCCATAAGAGCTCATATTGCACTAATTCCTCTACCCTGATCAGTGACTAGGCATCTAATACCTTGGGGTTTTAAAAAATGTTTTGGTGAACAACATTGTTGCTAAGCTAACATCTGTGCCAATCTTCCTCTATTTCGTATGTGGGTCACCACCACAGCGTGGCTTGATGAGTGGTGGGTAGGTCCACACTTGGGATCCAAACCCACAAACTCCGGGCCGCCACAGTGGAGCACAGAAACCAAGTGGAGCATGCAAACGTAACCACCATGCCATCAGGCCAGCCCCTGGGGTTATTGATCAATCTCTAATCTTCATTACAATTAGACTATACCTCACCAGAGCTACTGCTGAAATTTGAAAGATCATCACCTCGGAAGTATGCATTATTGGCCTGACCAAATATACTCTTATTTTACTATGAACATTTTTCCTCTGATACTGCGCAATTCTTTAGTATCAGTATATTTACATATGTGTCATATTTTTGTGTTAACTATACTTTTGTTTATAGTTTTGTTTTAATTTTACTTTGTTTTTATCCTAAGCAGTAGTACACAAAAAAATCACAGTTTGATATATTAATTATATTCTTAATAAATATTAAAATCCATGCACCCCTCAAGATCACCTTATATATCATCAGTTGAGTATCTAGCACACACGTTGGGAAACACTAACATGAAAATTTCTTGCCAGGGGGCCGGACCCGTGACCAAGTGGTTAAGTTTGCGTGCTCTGCTTTGGTGGCTCAGGGTTTCGCCAGTTCGGATCCTGGGCGCAGACATAGCACTGCTCATCAGGCCATGCTGAGGCGGTGTCCCACATAGCACAACCAGAGGCACCCACAACTAGAATAGACAACCATGTACAGGGGGGCTTTGAGGAGAAGGAAAAAAACAAAACAAAGATTGGCAACAGATGTTAGCTCAGGGCCAATCTTAAAAAAAAAACATTCTTTCATGCTTTAAAAGAAAAAACTTCTTGCCATGGAAATAATGGATGAGAGTTGGAGTCGGGCAACGTTAAGATAACCTCTCATAACTCTGCTTCCTACCACATATCTGCACAAATAATCAAACAAAAAAGTGTTAGTTTTCTTCACGCTGAATACATCACTAATATTGAGCTTCTATGTGATATGATATATCCACCAAATGAAATATTTTATTGAAATACACAATTTTTATGAAGAAACAAGCATCCCCTGGAAGGAAAGACTCATACAGCTAATGCTGTAGGCATGTGATATATATGTGTGTGTCTCTGTATGTTTAATTCTCTTTCTTTCAAATCAAGTGACCTAGTCTCGTTCGGTTAGGTTTCAACCACAAAACATCACTGTAGGCTTTTTTTTTTTTCAAGATACACGTCACAACACACCAAGAAAGAGGGAACTTCCAGTGTCTGTGGTAACATCACTTGATAAACAGTCTCGTTTGAACAGCAAGAGACTGCTATATAAAGCAGCAGAGACGGCGGCCAGCAGACACTTGCCTTGCGAGGACGATACGAGCAGCAGCCATCTCCACGCCAAGGTTAGACAAAATGCCAGGAATGTTCTTCTCTGCGAATCCAAAGGACTTGAAAGGAACGGATCAGTCACTTCTAGACGACAAAACGCAAAAAAGGAGGCCAAAGACTTTGTAAGTTCATTCAGTGTCTCATTTTGTGAATTTTGACTTAGATTATCTTTAATGGCAGAAGGATTGGGAATGAATGGAAGAAGATATGAGCATTTCGTTTGGCCAGATCAGAGCGATTATCCGTTCTGAGCTATAAGTATATTCAGTTGCATTAAAAAAATGAATCACAATAGGGCAATAAATTAAGGTGGGAATTTTTCCAGCCTTTGGCCCATAAAAATGGGCTCAATCTTAACATAGCAAAATGTTGTATCAACTATTTTTACTATTGCCTCATTCCTTGGAGAAGTTTATTTCAGGCTCTTTTCTTTTTACAAATAAAGTGTATTCTATTGAGGAAGTATGAATAATTACTTTTGTGTTTTTTATAGTGGGATGGACGTGAAAGCATATCTGAGATCTATGATCCCACATCTGGAATCTGGAATGAAATCTTCTAAGTCTAAGGACATGTACGTATGCTAATACATTGAATTATCATTATAAAAGCAGCCTATGCCTTAGGTCTATAGACTAGCAAGAAATTCATATTGCACAGAATGGACTTCATTTCTTTTAAGCAATAAGCCTAAGAAGATTAGGCTGCATTAGTACCAATGTAAACTAAATACACACATGTGTGTGCATATATTTGCTATTTATTATACTGTTGGAGGGGGTGTATTTGGATTTTTTCACATTTTCTTGGCAGATATTTTCATAACTATAGTAACTCTAAGGGAAATTTTGTTTTCTTATAGATAAATTTTAATAAAATTTATTAGAACTAGAGTCTTCATTTGCGAAGTTCTCAAAATGCAGCAGCTATTCTAATTTCATTTGTGCTTACATGAAAAAGTCTTTTACTAATTGATGTAAATTTTTGTCCTCTGCAGACTCTCTGCTGATGAAGTAATGCAATGGTCTCAGTCTCTGGAAAAACTTCTTGCCAACCAAAGTAAGTATAGATTAACTACTGAATGTTTTGGGTTTAGCTCAATATGCTAAGAGATTGAGTGGCTTCATTAAAACATAGTATTCTGGCTAGCAGAGTGTATGAAAAGCTGTATTCTGATTTTTCTGTTGTCACTGATGGCTTTAGCATATTATGCCCCATGGTGGTGGAATGTTGACTTAACACCCAGTTCTGTCACTGTCCTTTAGACAAATTTGCCCAGACAATTTGGTGTTTCCACGGATCATGATAGGAGCAACATTAAAAATTATGCTGGAAGTTTAACGTTTTTAAAAGTAAACCAAATATCTTCACATGTGAACTGCTCTTCTGAAAGTTACCTAAAGAATGTCTTTTTGTATCGTTGGATGTGTGGAGTAGGATTCATCCAGTCAGTTAATGATTTTATCCTCCGTACATTCATGAACTCGCTCATTCAGCCCACTTTTATGTGGCAGGAATTTTAGAAGCACCCAGGATTCAAAACCCAAAACACAGTGCCTCGCTGCCTTACTGCTCTGCAGGCAATTGAGACCCATGGCACATAACTGCATTATATACGACATGACACATGTTATAACACAGATACGATACAAAGAATTTTGAAACACAGAGTCATGTGGAGAGTTTCCGATGAGAGAAGGTAAAGAATGAAACCAGCGTGCCTTACCCTCCTCACGGGCACTGCAATTCTACTGGGGTCAGGAGCCTTGATTGGAGATCAGGAAGTTCAACCTGGTTTATCCATCTTATTATCTGACTTCGTTTATGATTCAGCCTAACAAATAAATGGAATAGAAATAGCCCATTTAAAAGTCTCTTAACACCAGCAATTATAATCACACATAGGTCATACATAGGCATCACATTTTCTGACTAATATGAATTGGATGGGGAAATTATATTTGTTAATGATTAACGTGATGTTAACGCCCTTTGTTAACGTTTGCCTCCCTAAAATACTCTACAGTCTGGCTAAGAGCTGCTATTTATAAGAAGAGAGATTGTTTCATAATCAGCAGAGGAGAATTTTAATTTAATTAGTAGATGGAAGGAAAGCATGGTTTCATAGCCACCACAAAGTGTGTGTGTGGATATGTTTGTTTGGCCCCAGATACACTACAAATGAAGGAATCTATAAGGCCTTCCCATCTCTACAAAGTATGACACAGCTATTTCAGCAGCAGCCATCTCTTATCTTTGTACACAGAAAATGCAATAGTATTTTTCTTGCAAATTTCTTATTCAAGTTATTCATTTATTGGCTCAATCAATTTAATTATCTTATCCCTTGCCTTGTCTTTGTAGCTGGTCAAGATGTCTTTGGAAATTTCCTAAAGTCTGAGTTCAGTGAGGAGAATATTGAGTTCTGGCTGGCTTGTGAAGACTATAAAAAAACAGAGTCTGATCTTTTGCGTTGCAAAGCAGAGAAAATATACAAAGCGTTTGTGCATTCAGATGCTGCTAAACAAGTGAGTATTAAGTTCATTATCATGCGTTTATATGTAAAGGAACTTAGATACAGAAACAACATTCCACAAACATGGCAAGATGAAATCCTTTTTGAGTATCATGATTTTACTGCTATATATTTAGGTACATGCACCTAGTTCAGTGCAATGATAATCTAATTTTCTATGTTTGTGAAAAGATTGGATGCAAGATTGATTTTGCAAAATTAGCTAACATGATGGGGGTGGGGTAAGGGGTACTGGTGTTGCTGGGCAGAAGTGCATGTCAGGGAGTCCTTAATGAGCTAGTTCATCTTAGATTAGGGTAAAATACACTATTACAATAGTGCAATATGTACAATTGCAGCAGCAAAAATATTTCCAGTTAGCAGTTGTGCCCACCTTCCAGTCAAATGCTGTTGGTTCAACCAGAAAATAGCTGCGCCATGTGCCTTCTCCCCCTGTAAATCTTAAATGTCCGCATCACTTTTTCTGATGCATGTATCACCTTGCATGGATATTTAATTTTTCATGTCTGCCTCTTTTGTATCTCTCAATGATGCTATGAGCTCACTTGGAGCGAAGACTTACTTGTGATATTTCTTTTTAGCTCCTCCATACCTAGTATAGGGCTGGTTTAGAGTAGGCTTTCAAGAGATATTTGAGCTGATTGAAATGAGGGCTTAAAGCCACTGTCCTGAAAAGACAGAGTAACAGCATAAAATAATGCAATAAATTGAAAGTACATATTAACTAATGAGGATTTCTTTTTAGATCAATATTGACTTTCACACTCGAGAATCGACAGCCAAGAAGATCAAAGCACCAACCCTCACATGTTTTGATGAAGCCCAGAAAGTCATATACACGCTTATGGAAAAGGACTCCTACCCCAGGTTCCTCAAATCAAATATATACTTAAATCTGCTGAATGACCTTCAGGCTAATAGTCTCAAGTGACCAGTTCCTGGCTGGAGGGAATTAAAGATGGTATCAAGAACAGAAGGAATGTGCCAGAATGGCTCCCTAGAAGAACAACTTGACCTTTGGAGGTGACTCAACATCAGTCCCAGGGGAAGAACATATGACTCACAATGGGTTAACCTGGAAGTTATCCAGGCGCAGGGTTGAAGAAGCGTAAGATGAAAATTGAGAGACAGTAGGAGGAAGGAGATACCGTGGTTCTGTCATAGAACATGGTGGACCTACGTGCTAGAAAATCCCTCAGAACTGAGAAGGCCGGGTAACTCTAGTTACACAGAAACTGTGAATAAAGGTTTTGAAACTGATTAAAACATGCTATAAGCTTCAAGGCCAACTGACATTTATGCTGCGTATGGTTCTACAGTGGGTGTATTGAGCTGCTGAATTCTCTTTCACTTGGATGACTCTTTGTAAAAAAGTATGTGTTGAAAATCTCTCTTGCTATCATTGACACAAAGTTTATGGTGTTGTTTTGTCTGTTGAATTGTTTTTGGCTTGAAAGAGAAGAAGAAGAGAACAATGTATTTAACTTAAGCTATTGCTCTTATAACTGGGAAGTTAGAGTGTATTTGTAAATTAAATTATCTCGGTGTCGATAATAAATGTGAGTTTTGTATTAAAAATATATACGAGCAATTTCTGTTTACATTTCCTTGCCACTGTTACGAACTGTCTTTTATTCCTGAAATGTCAAAAAACTTCAAGCAAGGGCCTTCTATTTTCTATTACCTCTTCAACATTTAAAAGCATCATCCAATTAATTCTACATTTTATGTATTATGTGTATTATTGGACAAAATTCATTAGTTTTCTCTCTGCTATCACAATGCATAAAAATCAGACAAATATGATATGCTTTCATATAGTCAAGCTTCAAACTGATGAAAAATTGAAAAAGTCTTTAAAAAAGGGATGGGGAGCTTATTTCAAGAAGTAATCTAATTACCAATTGATATCTTATTGTGATTTAACGTTTATAAAATCCAGGTGTATTTTCTCATTTGATGCTCAGAGCAATCCTATGAAAGCTGAGACTCAGGAAGATTAAATCACTAACTCCCAAATTTAGCTAGCTATCAAAATTACCTAGAATGTTAAAAAAAAACAAAACATCTATTTCAGGGCCCTACTCAAATCGAGTGAACCAGAATCTCCAAGGGATAGAGTTATGAGAATCTATATTTTAAAAGGAAACCCCAGGTAATTCTGAAGATGCTCTGGGAATCCAGGGTTGGGAACCCTGGGATTAAGGGACAGTCAGCCTGCCAGGGATTGTACCTAAATCTCTGACTACACAATTGTGCTCTTTCTACTATGCAACACTGCCCCCTATTGACCAGCAGACATTTCCTAGGGATCACCTTCAGAGAGAAGAAAAATAATCAAGATGATGCATATTCCATAGCCTGTACAGCTGTATCTTCCCAGGCACCTGGGTCCCATATCTTATTGAATAATGAGCAATCCACACATCATAATGAAATGCAATGGATATTCTCAGTACAGGTGTGCCCATTCATCAGGCACACAACAAATGTATGGGGCAATATGTAGATCAGATTCAAAGAGCATTATTCTTGAGTTTCCATGGGACAGAGTTCAAACTGACTCTACCTTGAGCTTTATTTCATGGTTTAGCAGGTTGTTTTATAAAGGAAGTTTAGGAAGGAAGCTCAGTTCCATAACAATAATAATAATAATTGAGTATTTCTCGCCCTTACTCATTCCATCTCCAAATTCTGTCCTCTTTCTACAGTCAATGTGTGTAGCTGGCATATCACTTGCTCTTTTCCTATTACCGCTGCCCTAGCACCAGCTCTCATTGCTTGCTAATTCATGTGACTTGTTTTCCCTCTTTCCAGACTCTTCTCTTCACTCCATCTTCTGAATAGCCACAAATATCACCTTCTGAAACATGGATTTGGCCACGTCACTTCCTGTGACATACAAAATAAAGTTCAAATTTCTCCTCCTGGAAATCAAAACACTCCCAGTGAGACCTTCAGGGTCGAATTCCCACTGTTTCCTTCTTGGTATCCTCCTACCTTGACATCACCGTGGATTACCTGCCTTTTCTTGAACGGGCCCCGGCCTTTACTATCTCCAGGCCTTAGGTTACTCTCTATTATCTCTCTAAAATGCCTTATTCTACCTGATTCCAGTTTTCAAAGTCCAACCAATTCTTCAAGGCCCAAGTAGAATAACCCTTCCATAAAGTCTTTCTAACACCTTACATCATTTCGTAGTTATTTTCAATGTCTAATGGAGGGGAACTGAGTCCATATAAACACAAGACACTCTGCTCCTATTTCTAATCCTACTGTCACATTAAACAGTCCAGGCCCTTCAGACTGTGAGGGATGAGAAGCACAACTGCCCAACACATACACCAGACATAAACTGAACGCTTCTGGTCTGTGTCTTGATAAGACCCCATGTTAAAGAGCCATCCAACTGTTGGACACATGGTCCAAAAAGAACGTCTAAGACACCTCTTCATTTTCAAAAAAGAAAAGTGCCATCATGACTGCCTAGACTCAAGGTATCGTAAAATAACTGAAATGATAATTTTCTTTTCATTGGCATTGTTTCTCATGATGTGATTGTTTTAGAAGACCCTTCACGGAAATGTGATGACCTCTAGTGACATCTACTATTTAAAGAAATCTCATCCAAATGTTCGATCTCAGAGTCTCAGATCATGACTTCTCTGCTGTTGTGACATTAAAGCAGTGGCAGTCAACAATACTTATGATTTAGAACTCATTCATGAAAAAAGTAAAAACATTTATTGTTTTCGGACTTAACGTTACATTATTTCTAACATGCGTTATCTCAGAAAACTAGGAATCTGTGAAGGTAGAAATGAGGGTGATGATATACCCCATGATATCTAATAAAAAGTACACATCTAACATGATGTAACATATCCAGAATTTGAAATATGATGTACATCCGAAAAAAATAAAAATTAAAAAAAAGTACACATCTACCCATTTAGTTCACATGGGATAAACTAAAGTTCAAGTTTCTTTCTATGTGCAAACATAGACTGCATTATATTAATAGGAATTTTTGATGATTTATTGTTGAAAATAAATTCTGAAATATGTGAAGGAAAAATAAAGTAAATGGTGATTTAAACTACCATAGATAGAAATAATGGCTGTTGAATACAGAACTGCAGAATTCCTCAAGACCAGCATGAAACCACATCTGTAGAACAAAAAATACTCATCCACTGCTGAAATGCTTCCATCTTTTTGTTCAGACCAGTATCTTAGAAGCTAAAAATGTATCATCCTAATGGCAAAATCTTGTGTGTTACTCCATGCCTAACCAAAATGAAACTTTTCTACAAATAAGTCAGTGGCAAAATATAGAACCTTCTATAGATGTTTCTATATAGTCAATATTCGACTGGGTGGTTACTTCTCAGTGGCTCTTTTAGCTTGAATTGGAAAACAAGACAAAAAGAAAAAGAAAGAGAGAGTGAAAAGGAATTGGCTGAGCATCTTAAATGTTTATATTACCTTACACCTCATTTTATAACTTGAATGTCCTGAACGACCACACATAATATTTTACCTTCTCAAATTGAAATTTTAAATCAAAAAGGATTATAACTTAGGGGCTGGCCCCGTGACTGAGTGGTTAAGTTCGTGCACTCTGCTGCAGGTGGCCCAGTGTTTCGTTGGTTTGAATCCTGGGTGCGGACATGGCACTGCTCATCAGACCACGCTGAGGCAGCGTCCCACATGCGACAACTAGAAGGACCCACAATGAAGAATATACAACTATGTACTGGGGGGGTTTGGGGAGAAAAAGAAAAAAAAAAAAAGGATTATAACTTAGATTTGTCTACATAATTTCACTTTAAAACTCTCATAACTGATGGGATATTAGGCTAGGAATTTGAATCTAACCCCCAAAGAACTAAATTTATAAACTCAGGAGGACCTTGCCTTGGTCTGGAATCTTGGGAGAGATCTATACTGGTGGGTTTGATGATTGAAAAAGAAGTCAAATTCATAGGATTTGGGAGTTAACTTGTTTAAATAAGAAGAAATGGTGCATTGTAAGCACATTTATTAATTTAGAAAACTGCGTTGGTCATGTCCATTACACTTCAAAATTACATGTTCACCTCCTCTGCCCTCTCTCTCCTGTCACACTCATAAGCCAAGTCAGATGTTTTAGGATCCATCCAGCTGAGGATGCACAACTTCACAGAGTTTGGGAACATTCCAAATAGACACTCTTTTATGTCACCCAAGAGAAAAATCAACCTTCTATTTCTCAAGTGAAAAATGTAAGACTTCTAAAAAGTTCTGTAGCTCCAAGTTTTCTTAGCAAAAAATAGTTATTCAAATAATAATACATTATAATAGGCATTAGATTTTTTTCATCCAGGAAAAGTATTTGATTTTGTTCTATATTTAATGCATATTTTTACTCGTTAATAATATTAGCTGGCTGATTTTCTCCATCTTTTTCAGAGGGAAGGGATAATTAGAGCCAATCTTGAAGAATAAATACAACCCAACCAGAGGAGAAAGGAGGTGAGAATGTTTCAAGTACAGGGAAGAGTCTGAATAAGTCAGGAAATCAAGAAAAAAATTATGCTGTTCAGCAATGGTGATTTATTTAGCGTGGTTGGAATATATGGGGGAAGAGAGGGTCTAAGAGGGAAAGCTAAAAAGGGAGTTTAGGGCAGATTCTGAGAATAAATATAGTCCATTCCAAAGAGTGTAAATTTTATCTTTTATATGATAGGTAACTACTGAAGTTTCAAGCACAAGAGCAAAAGACTTAACTGCTTTTGAGCGTCTATTACGATACATACATGTCACTTGTTTAGTCCACACCAAAACTCTTTGATACCAGCACTCTTAACCTCCTTTTATTGATCAATAAACGTAGAAACAAAAAGGTGAAAAAAACATATCTAAGGACACGCTAGTGAGTAGCCGACCCAGAATTTGAATCCAGGTATGTGTGTTTCCATGGACTTTCCATTAGCTCATGCTTCTTCCCGAAAGAA